TTGGTGGTCAGACTTCAGCACTGAACTTGAATCATGAACACGGCCCAACGTGCATGTCTCATCTATGCTCAAAATAATTGTTTGCATCTTGGGCCAGCAAGAGTCTTGGCTGTTTTAGACATGGAAGGGGATGTCTTTTATCACCACAAATCCCACTATTTCTGCACTAATGCTTATTTTCCATTTGTTTGGACTCTTCAGTAATGGTGCTTGGGCTTAGAATTGTGGGTTTTCAATCTTCATAATGTACTGCCTGAGTGGTATGTGTGACAACATGGTGAATAAAGTATGCATTAAAGTGTTGCAATAATAAAAGTTGAGAAGCATGTAGGAAATAAGAGATTTAATAGATCCTGTCCTTAGCTGCTCAAGAAGACATCAATAGAGAAGTATTGTTGATGTAAAAGGATTGTTAGCTTCAGAACTATCCTTCAGGAAGCAAGTGATAACAGAGGATCAGTTGCTCAATAATACTTTTTCTTAACCATTATTGGGAAATTAATCCACTATTGGCTAGTTCACACCTTGTACTATATTGCCTTTAATCCAGTGTTTTTCAATCCTGGCAGCTTTAAGATGTGCGGACTTCAACTCCCATAATTCCTCAGTCAGCCTGCATTATGGGGGATTCTGGGATTGGAAGCCCACACATCTTTAAAAGTGGCCAAGGTTGACTTAAACCCTGCTTTCATTAAGGGATGGCAAAGCTGCATTGACTGAGGCCAAACAGAAAGCCAAGCCAAACCCATTGCAGGATGGTGTGACCTGTGAACCCAATTCTATCATTGTTTTGAGTCACCGAGACCGGGGGGACTTATTTTGGTGTGACACCAACGTGATGACCGCATAGCTTTCAAATTAACGCTCCTCCCACAAAACGGGGGGGGGGGGGAAAGCTGATTCTACCAACCAATAGAAAGGACGGAGAAATATAAACGAACGGGCAGAAAATGGTTTCTCCCATTAATTACCCCTTTTTTCTCCAACATTAGTCTCGCCCCAAACGCTCGACTCGAGCGTCATCCGAAATGGTATCGCCCTCCCCTTCCCCCCCCCGCGTCTGCGCGGGCGCAAGTGGTGCGTCCCCGGCGTGAGTCGGCGGCTGTGCGCCTAGCGCCGCCCCTTTCTGTTTTCTAAATCCACCCCCCCCACCGCAAGGGCAGTGGTGCGGTCCGGCATTGCCCAGCAGCCTCGGCCGGGCGCGTAGTCAAGGGCCTCCTTCCTCGCTCCCCCCCCATTGTTGAGGCACAAGTGGAAGAGGCCGCCTCCGCTCGGAACCCAGCCGCCTCCGCTGCTGCCGCCGCCGCGAGTTACCCCCCCCACCCCTCCCCGCTGGTGTATGAGGGATTTATAACCGCGAGCCGTCCCCCCCGCCATGTCCACGCCGGCCCGGAGGCGCCTTATGCGGGACTTCAAGAGGTAAAAGCGACGCCCCGGGAAGAGAGCCGCTGAGCCGGAGGGAAGGGGAGGGGGGGGCGGGCATCGCAGCGGATGGAAAAGAGGTGAGGCGATCCAACATGGCGGCGGAGGATGGGAGCGCTACGCTACTGGCGTAGCGGCCGTGGAGATTAGGGCGAGTTACGCCGTTGGCGCAGGCGGAGCGAAACGAGCCCACCCTCGCCCGTTCCTGCTCCCCAGCTGGGCTTTTTAACCCTTTCCTGGCCTGCTTTCCCCCCCCCCCCTCCCCCCCCCCCCCCCAAAACAGGCTGCAGGAGGATCCCCCGGCCGGAGTGAGCGGAGCCCCCTCGGAGAACAACATCATGGTGTGGAATGCGGTCATCTTTGGGTGAGTCTCCTCTCCGCCCCCCCATCCTCTTCCTCACCCACCCACCCACCCAGGAAGGTTGCAAGCCTTCTTCTGCCCCCTCCTTTTGTTCTTTGCACCCCCGCATCTCTGCTCCAGGAGCGCTTCCTGGGAGATCCTAAACACCCCTTCCCCTTTTTTCTCACACACACACAAGCAGAAAAACACACCCAACCTTCCTTGTTTTTCCAAAATTGCAAATGGGCTCTTTAAAAAAGGGGGGGGCTGGGTCAGGCTTCCCCCCACTTCAATGCTTCCCCCACACCCCCAGCCCAGTTCTGCAGTTGAAGTGGAAGGGGGATAGGATAGGATAGGATAGGATAGGATAGGATAGGATAGGATAGAGGAGAGAATAAAATAGAATCAAGAATAGAATGTAGAATATAGAATAGAATATATAGAATAGAATAGAATAGAATAGAATAGAATAGAATAGAATAGAGAATAGGATAGGATAGGATACAATAGAAATAGAATAGAATAGGAATAGAATAGAATAGAATTAATTCAATTCTTTATTTTGCCAAGTGTGATTGGGCACAATTTGTCTTTGGGGCACATGCTCTCAGCGTACATAAAATCAAAGATACATTCATCAAGAATCATCAGGTGCAACACTTAATAATAGTCTTAGGATACAATAAGCAATCGAATCATATTAGGAAACAGTCAATATAAATCATAAGGATACAAGTGATAAAGTCACAGTCCTACAGCCGCAAGTGGGAGGAGATGGGTGATAAGGAGTGATGAGAAGATTAATAGTAGTGCAGACTTTGTAAATAGTTTGACAGTGTTGAGGGAGTTATTTGTTTAGTAGAGGGATGGTGTTTGGGAGAAAACTCCCCCTGTGTCTAGTTGTTCTGGTGTGCAGGGCTCTATAGTCTTGTTTTGAGGGAAGGAGTTGAAACAGTTTATGTCCGGGATGTGATGGGTCTAGCCTGAAGGGAGTGCAGGACTTCAGTTCATTACCATGTTGGGGACGGTTAAGAACATAAGATGATTATGATCTACAAAAGCAAGGATAAACATGTTGGTGCTCTTGCGTAGCCTCCCGCTATTAAGTTGGCCAGAGCTGATAGACTTTGAGAATATCTAGGACATTCAGAGGAACCCAGTTTTCCTTCCCTAAATTCAAATAAACAATCATTCCAATTATTTTCCTTATCAGTTATCGGACTTTTTAAACTCTGTGCTTTCATCAGTGAGAATTATCATCCTCGTGGCCCAGATTTTACTACTCTGTGGTAATAGTCTAGTCATTCCACTGGCTGTTGTTTCTTTTTTTCCTTTCTTCTCCCAGATGTATTGAATTGTATTTCCCTTCATTCAGAACCAGCCTGTTCAATAAACGCCCACTTCGGGTCCATAATGTATTGCTCACTTCCAGGAGAGAGATTTGCAAAGGCAGAAATAATTGTAATTGATGGTAAACGTCCAGATAGGGCTGGCAGTTGCTTTCTTTTAGAAATAGGAGCGTATTCTGGTAAGGTAGAATGGCAGGGTGTGTTCAGAAACTGCCATTAGTGGTGGCTGGAGTTACTTTAATTAAAAATAATAATCATTATTATTGTTATTCTGACAACCAGTTCCTTGGTCTCTTGAAAGAACATTGGAATGAATAAAGACTGGTTTGGAAAGCTTTCCTACATCTATAAATATTTTGTAAAATAGGCCGAAAAAAGCAAGATAGCCATGGCACCTCTGTGGCTTTGCTGCGCTCAGAAAGAAATTCCTCCAAATTCTCTCATTTGATTGCTTAGCTAGTCCAAGACTGATAGGCAGGGAAGAGTGACTGCTGCCTCAAACCTTCAGCATGGATCCCTTTTCCCTCCTGCTCCCAAATGACCCCACGAGCGTATTTGCTTGTGTGTATATCACGCCTGCTCCAAAATTTTCCAAAAGATATTTCACAGTGCGTGCTCACCTCATGAACTTGGAAGCCAGCTCTGCTTGGCTGGTAGAACACTCTGTCAAGCTTCGTGGTTGCGATCCTTGCCCTACCTGGAATTCCAAGCTGAAACCTTAAATCGATAAACGGATTTTAGTTCATCCTTTTACCATAATTGTGTACCCTGGCAGGTGTGACCTGTTTTGACAGTGTTGATTAGACAGCCTGGGTGACATTTCCTTTTTTGAATTGTCCCGGGATCGGAGCCAATTCACTTTCCTCCTTCACTATGTTGTATTTGACTGCAAGTGAGCCTCGCAACACAAACTGTAACTTAGTCCAAACAAACGGAACTGAAGTAATTAGTTTGGCAGGGCAGGAACAAGAATTTCAGACTTGAATGCACGGCAAAACTCACATGGTTAGAAAGACGTCAGGAGCACAGAGAAGCCACGACAACACAGGATAAACTCATGTTTTGCTCCCAGCAAGCACTGCACTCAGCATGCATCTCTTTTAAATTCCCTTCCCAGCTGTGGCTAAAGAAGGGAATCAGGGCCCTTTCCTCCCCTGTAAGCCATGCAACCCATGTTGCTCCCTTCTCCGTTTCTCCCTGCATGCCATAGTATAAAGAGGGAGTAGGACTGGGTCTTCCTCTGAACTTCCTCTCCCCTGCTCTGCCCAGCCGGACTTTTCCCTTCCCCAGTTTCCTCCACAGTCAACAGAGCCACACTCCCGCTCCCTGTCAGGATTGAGACTCCGACAGGGGCATGACACCCTCTGTCCCAGATTTCTTAGGATTGATGATTGCAAGCCTGTCCGGAGAGTCCCCGTGTTTGAACAGGCAGGTGCTGTTTTAGGATGGATGGTTGCAGTTCGTGCTTTTCTAGGGTCCCTGAAGATGTAGCCATTGCTTGTGCGCACATTCTTCCTTCCTTCACTCTGCGCCTGCCTCCTCTTCTACCAGCCTTTAGGACAAGGCTCCTTGGGACACAGACCAGTGACCTGTAGCTGTGACGTACCTTGTGCTCAGTATTGACACAGCTTTGAGGTTGGCTCAGATCTTGCAAAGGTTCAGGATTCTCACAAGCACACGTGTGGGCTTCTTCGGAGGAAGGTGTCCAGATCCCTTAATCCCATTGGTGGAGGTTGGTAATTGCTCCACCTGAGCGGTTAACAATCTGATCTCTCTGTCTCTTTTCTTTTTTTTTACTGTTTAATTTTTTTTTAATTAAGTAAAGATTAAAAACAGTTGAACACAGCGTGACTTTCTTGGCCATCATTTTGGCCATACGTGCTATAGCATAAAAGTAGATATAACAGTTGATTTTCCCCTTTTTTTCCCTACATTGTTAATTTAATGCTGGTTACATATTTGTTTCTATTTACATTTATATACGTATTTACAACCTAGCTTCTTTTCCATCTCTTTTTTTCCCTTATAGTCTTTATATTCATATCATATTTGTCCATTATATTTCTTTTTCTTTACCTTACAAAACTTTAGCCTTCATCCCTATAAAAGCGTCAACACTTTCTTCCTTTCCTCGACTCCAACCATTGATACATTTTGCTCCAGACTCCATAGTAGTCTGATCTCATAGTAGTCTTATCCTTAATTTCTAGTTAGTCTGTCCATCTCTGCACAGTCTAATATTTTCCTTATTGTTTCGCTTTCGCTAGTGGTGTCTTCATTCTTCCAGCTTTGGGCATGCACCATACTCTGTCTCTTTGCAGCCTGCTGGCATATAAGAGGGGAAGACAGTCAAGCTGTGATTGTTGCTATCCAGTGCTGAACCAAGAACTTTGAATGCCTTGGGAGCCCCGTGCCCAGGGCTTTTATCTTTAGCATCAAGGTCAGGGGTGACTGGGGTGAGAGATAGCAGCCCCCCCCCCCAACCCAACTTAAAAATAAACAGCTGCCCCCCATAGTCAACGATGTCACCTAGGTTTGATTCTTCCCCTGAAGCCTTTTGAATTCAGCCCAGTTTGAATCCTGGTTTTGGGACTGGAGGGAATGCAACGTGTCCTTTTTAAAAATCTGGCTCCTCTAAATGGAATCTATGACCTGCGAGATCTTGACAATCATTTTCTTTTTCAGGCCGGAGGGAACCCCGTTTGAGGATGGTAAGTCTTTCTTGAAGCAATCTTAAGAGACTGTAATGCAACCCTTCACGTGATGCCTCGCTCAGTCCTAGAATCTCACATTGGAATTTTGGGGGGGCAGGAAAGCATTCCTGTGCTTACTCGATAATGGAGACACCTAAACTAGAATCCTCTCTCTCAGGACGTTTTGCCACGTGTGACCCGGCTGCTTCTCCCTCTCTTGGCTTGATCCCAACGAGTGTGAGCGTCCTTTTTGCTCTTCCCTTTTGATGCCGTGTTTTTTAAAAATTATTCTCCGTTCTGATAAGATTCCATTCTGCTTTGGGTCGAACTTAGTAGTCCTTAATACCCGTGTGATTACGACGGTGTCCGTTCAATTATTTCATTTATTTATTTGTATTCCACCATTATTTTTACAACTAAGTCAAGGCGGTGTGAACCTATCCAACACACCTTCCTCCTATTTTTCTCACCGCAACCCCGTGAGGCAGGCTGGGAGAGAGAGAGAGAGAGAGAGAGTGACCGACCCAAGGCCACCCAATTGGCTTTCATGGCTAAGGCGGGACTCGAACTCGGGGTCTCCTGGTTTCTAGCCCCGGTGCCTTAACGATGAGACCAAACTAGGCCGTCTACTGAACATAATTCTGTAGTGTTGCTGCTTATACTTACAGTGGCTTTTCAGAATTTACTTGAAGGTATTAATAATTTAATTTTATGTTTAGTTTAATTTAAAAAAAATTAAACTCAATTTAATTTTATGGCACTTTTTAGACCTTTTTCTCAGGTCCTTTGAAAAGCACCTTTGCTGCACAAGCTTTAAACTGCCTTGCTGCCCTTGGAGCCGTTTGCATGCTTTTAAAAAGCACGCTTGTTTTTTCCCGTTTTGGCCTTACACCCGTTTCCTTTGCCATCGTCTGTTAAATCTCTTGAGTTCAGTTATAAAAGCAGCAGTTTGTTCTCTTCTTTGTGTAAAAAGGTTGTGCAACAATTAAAAACGATGCCTGCCAGTTTCGCAGCCTGTCTCTCCATCTGTCTGGTTTCAGATTCTCTTCCTTGCAAAGGAATCGTCGGGTTTTTTTTTTCTGATTTATTACGGACCGATAAGAAAGGCAGGGACAGTTTAAACCCACCTGTGAATATGATGTCACTGAACTCCCTGCCCCCACCCCCTTTTCTCAATTACAGGGACATTCAAGCTTACCATAGAATTCACGGAAGAATATCCGAACAAGCCACCTACCGTCAGATTTGTGTCTAAGATGTTTCATCCGAATGGTATGTAGCTTTTTTTTAAACAGACAACAGTTTGTATAAAAGAGCCAGGACAGTGGAAGAGATGGAGCCCCTATTTACAGTTTGAGAGAAGCTGGCTTATAAAACGTAGCATTCCTGCAGGGGGAGGAGGGGGAAAGGCTGTGACTCCTTTAGAGGCACCTGTAATCCCGCAGTACAGTGACCTGAAGGTGTTAACTACAGATTCATCTCAATCATATTATTTAAGTCGATAAGAGATTCTGGTTGAACAAGGAACTATAGAAGAGTGTATTGTTTCTTTGCGGAGCACACGGAGTCAACAGGTACCGACTTTGTTGGAAAATGTTGGCGAGGCCCTAAGATAATCTGCTTTCGTGAAAAGGAAGTTAAATAAGGTGTTGCGTGAGTTTGTGGGATCCTCCCACATTTAAAAACAAGATTTAAACTAAGATTTAAAAACACATTGTTCACACAGAAGCCTGTCCTCTTCACAAAATAGATTTGTGGGACAAGGAATCTAGGGAGGATCAAGAGTTCTCTCTGGATCTGAGTTGTCTCTGCCTGATTAGGTGGGTAATGGACTACAAAACAATTGCCTCAGATCTTGGCCTCCCATCAAGTTTAGGGCCAGGTAGAGAACCAACTCCTCATAATTATGTTATTACAGCTGTGGATTTCCTGGGTGTTCGATACAACCGCTGAAAATTGAAAAAGAGCTGATAGAATCCTATAATAAAAGAGATGAGTGAATGTTTACAAAAGGTAGCTTGACGGCTATAATTATGTGTTACTCGGTTTCCATAGATCTTTGAAAGGATCTGCGGCCCTTAATATTTGGTAGACATGTCACCATACTATGAATAACTTCATAACCACAAAGAATTGTCAGGTCGTGCAATGTAAGAGCCTGTAGTCAGAATCCAGTTCTTCTTGTGGGGTCACTTCAGATGGAGAGGCCGAGAGCTTGGCACAATCCCCTGATAGTAACACAACCACCCTTCCCGTATTATCAAAACCCACACCTTTTCCTTTTTAGTCTATGCAGATGGTAGTATATGCCTGGATATTCTTCAAAACCGCTGGAGCCCTACCTACGACGTATCATCCATCTTAACCTCCATACAGGTAACGTTAGTCATTTTGCTGGTACTTTTCCAAGCCCTCGTAGACCGATCCATTGCAGGAGCTGTGCAGTTCTGTGGACGGAGACAACCTTCCAGTATCGTTTGGGATTCATAGGGGTTGGTTGAGATAACCGGCTCCCATTGTGCCGGTTTCTAAGCCTTTCGGATGAAAAAACATGATAAGTCAAAAAAGCCTTGTTGAGAGGAAGCTAAACTTTGGTAGGCTGTGAATCAATAGGCCCATGGCGGGTAGGATACGATAGGTATTCAGTGCTTCGAAGAACATAGGGCATTGTTTCAGCCCTCTGAAAAGAAGGTATTGCATAAAATGTCCCAAAGGTGCTTTTTTTTCAAGAGGCAACTGGACTTTCTGGTTTTTCTTTGAAGGCGTTTCGCTTCTCATCCAAGAAGCTTCTTCAGCTCTGACTGGAAGGTGGGGAGTAGAAGGATTTATGCTCCTTGCAGACAGCTGGACGTTGGCATCCTTTCCGAGGGTCCCTGACCCTGAAGAACCAGATAAACCTCCAAGGGGCTTCAACGACCCTCTCTAAAAGGATGCAAATAACTAGCTGCCTGCAAAGAGGATCAATCCTTCCGTCGCCCACCATCCAGCCTTAGAGCCGAAGAAGCTTCTTGGAGGGGAAGCGAAACATCTTCAAAGAAAAAAAAAAAAAGTCCAGTCGCCTCTTGAAAAAAAAGCACTTTTGGGACAGCCTGGATAACCGAGAATCTCTACAGACTAGCTGCATAAAATCTTACTCGAAATCAATAGATGAGCTGGTAAAACGTGGCTTTGAATAGATTGCAAATTCTTTAGCTGTTTTTTTTTATTGTTATTTCTTGCACATTCCCGTTGAAAACGTAAAGGAGTACAGGTATTCCTTGACGTATAACAGTTCATTTAGTGACCATTCAATGCCAATGAAAAAATGGGTCTTGGGATTGTTTTTTCACGCTTAACCACTGTCGTGGCATCCCCCATGGTCACACGCTCAAAATTCAGATGCTTGGCAACTGGTTCCTGGCCGTAAAACAGGGCAAAGCTCCCCCTTAATAAATGTTTCACTTAGCGGCCTAACTTTTGGGGCTCCAATTATGGTTGTAACTCAAAGAACTGCCTGTACCTGATTGCAATAGCAAATATTTTGATGCCCAGAGAGCTTATAGCCTTAAAAACATTTGTTTTATCCCAATCTGGCCGCGTTAAAAGTGGTGGCGTATAGGTATAAGATACAGATACAGATTTAACGCAGAGTTGGAAGGGACTTTGTAGGTCATCTAGTCCAACCCACCCTGCCCAAGCTGGAGAGACTACACCATTGCTGGCAAATGGCAGTCCGTTCTCTTCTTGGACTACCATAAAAGATAAAAAAAAGGAGGGATTAAAAGCATCCCAGGAGTATTCTTAACAGACCTCCCAGCCCTCAAAAAACCCTTTTGAATTTAATCAGTGTCCCGTGCGCAGTATTGGCGTGAAACCTAACCAAGCCTGACCATCTTTTCCTTTCCTTTTCTCCCCCCACCCCTTTTTTTCCCCCCTTTCCAAAAACAGTCTTTACTGGATGAGCCTAACCCAAACAGCCCGGCAAACAGCCAGGCCGCTCAGCTATACCAGGAGAACAAGCGGGAATACGAAAAGCGAGTTTCTGCCATAGTAGAACAGAGCTGGCGTGACTGTTGACCTTGGCTGATGCAAAATGAACACTCTGACGAGGAAAATACATGTATGAAGTGTCTGAGTCCACCACCACCTCCTCTTCCTCCTCCTCCTCCTCCTCCTCCTCTTCCTCGCATCACTGCATTTACTCGGAAAGCAAAATTAGCTGTCTGTGCCGTTGCCAACTTCCCTCGCTGGATCTCTCTCTCTTTTTTTTTTTTTTCCTCTTTGGACAACAGAAAAACGAAACGAAAACAACCCCACCCATTCCTACTCCCCCCCCCTTGAAGTCAAATGTACTGTACTTGGGTTACTTGTTAAAAGAATGACTGAGGCTGAATTTCCACTTCCGGTGGGGTTTGGGGGCGGGGCGGATGTCTACGATCGCCAGTCTTAGGGGCAGTATTGTGCGTTCTTTTTTTTTCCTTCCCCCCCCCCCCACCCCCCGTACACTTAAGCTTTTAATTGTAATTGTGTTCTACACAGTGACGCTTACGTGTAGCTTGATTCGAGAGAGAGAGAGAGAAAGAAAGGAAAGGAAGGAAAAAAGGATGTTTATATACAATATACATTTTTAACGATGACTTGAGTTGCTGATCTGTCCGAGGCGGGTCATTTAACCGCTGGTTTCGACGCCACTACACCTGTGAGTATTTTATGGAAGAAGAAGAAGAAGAGGGGAAAACGTGAGTTTTCCTCTCTCTCCCCCCCAGTGTGCTGCTTTTCCCATGTTCCCCCCCTAAGCTTCCTTCTCAGCTGCCTGGGTTTTGCAGAACTGATTTCCAAGACGGGGGTGGGGGAGGCGGAGGGCCGATCCCCCGCTTTTTAATGGTCAGGCGCAAGGAGATTGATTGGCGTTACGTAAACGGGGGAACAAGGCTTTCCGCAGCACGTTCAAAGGGTGCTCAAAATGGTGTATGCCGCACTTTGGAGTAGAGTTATGGGGAGCAGAGTTATGGGGAGCAGAGTTACGGGGAGTAGAGTTATGGGGAAAGAGTACAAGAGTCGAGAGTTTAATGGCCAAATGGTGTGTTAGGGGCAAACTTCAAATGCTTTAAAAAAAAAAGCCCACCCATTTCCCCCCCCCACCCCTCTATGATTTTTAATTTCTACCTCTTAACCAGGGGAGGAAGGAAATGAGATAGTTACAGCTTTGCTTACTTGTTTGGGAGAAAAGCGGGGGGAAAAAAGATTGCTACTGCGGCATGTGTCTCTTCTCTGTTCCCTTCTTCCTTGCCTTCCCTCTGCCTGATTTACAGGGTGGTTTCACATTTGTTTTTGTGTATGTGCGCGTGTGCGAAGCCGAGTCTGTACTTAAGTCAGCAGTGTGGGAGGAGACCCATTGGTGGGTTTTTGTCCGCTCTACCAGTGTCTTCTATGTATACATGAACTCTGGAGTACAACTTTGCACAAGTAACCCATGTAAGAAACTGTACATTTTTCAATGACTTGTAAATAAATGTGTAACCGAAATCCTTAATTGTTGAAAGAAGACCATGTGCACCCCTTAACATTTGACTGGAAACCAGCAACTGAAAGTTGATCTTGCAAATCGAGGGACCGTTTAATAATGCCGATACGTCATTAGACCAAATGTTTTCCTTTGTATATTCTGGTTGTAGATAAAAGATACTCTACACTTTCAGGAATGCTTACAACTAATGACATAAATAAGGGTGGTTTATAAAGTTAATTTCTGGAGTATCTCACAAGCTATTAGCTGAGGTAAAGCAGGAGAAATAGTTAAACTGCCTTTCTTAAGCACATTTTTTGTGTGGTATATCCCTTACTGCAACAGGTAAAACAGGCGAGTGTGCCTTTGCCTTTTATAGAAAGCTGTAACATCCCCTAAAAGTCTTCTCTTGTTTGTTTGTTCGTGTTTTTTTTTTTTTTTAGGGAAATTGAGTGTCTTTACTACCTTGTGTTTTCCAGCCACCTTTCTTTTATACTCTGCAGATGCTTTTAAGTTACAAAGGAAAGAACGGACAGGCACACCAGTGGCAAGACTCAAGTGTTTAAACAGGTGAAATAATGTGTAGGTAAGATGAATTAGTTTCTTCCAACTTCTGCCACAACTGAGTGGATTCCCAGAAGTTTGGCCTGGAGGTTCTAGAAGAATGAGAAGTTCTGTTACAAGAAGGTCAAAGAGATTGAGCGGTCTAGTTAGGCCTTGTGTTCCAAGCTTTCGTGTGAAGAAAAAATATATATACACAATAGGGCTATGTAGGGTTGGGTTTTTTTTTGTTTTTTTTTTGGAGTTGACAGCCAGTCGGTAGCTCCTGTCTGCAATTCTTTATAATACAATTTTTATCTTTTCCTGGAAATGCAGATGTGCCCTAAAGCATTGCAAAGTCCTAACCCATTTTATAAAAACTACATTTTTTCGCTTTCTCTCATGTAGATACTTTTTTAAAAAAAAAAACTCAAAACAACCTCCTCTCCTTCAGAATATAAAACAATGCAGAATTATTCCCTAAAAATCATTCTTCCATTGGGTGTGTATATCATTTCCAGCCGAACAAGGCTCTACACTACAGTAAAACAACGGAAGGATTGAACGAAATGGGAAAGCAAGTCTTGATATCCTTCAGCAGCCCCTGCAGCTGGAAGAAAGCCTATAAAGAGGATTTTTTTTAAAAAAAAAAATACTGTGCAGAAAACCACAACAACTTCAGCGAGAGAACCTTTTTACTTGCTGATCTTCCTGTGAAATATACAAGCACATTGACACAATATGTAGAGGCTTCAGAGAGAAAGAAATGAAACTCCATCCTGTCTGATTAGGATGGACAGGGTACAAGAAATGCTCCCCTTAACGCTGATGGAAAACACAGTAATGTATTGGCCTCATTTCGAAATGTAGACGCCCCCCGGTGTCACATCACAAATGATGCATCTGCTGGGAATTGCACAAATCAGGCAACAAAAAAGCCTTCACTAATTTGTTAGTTCCAATGCTGCAGTGGAGAGCCCCCAACATCCACGGCATTTACAGTCTCTTGATCCCTGAGCTTCCACTTCTTGGTTTTAATCCTGCAAGGCTAGAAACCTGCAACCGAGATTTTTTTGGCCCAGTGCAATTCCCCACCCGCACCCACCCCGCTGAAGTTTATGACACTTATTCCAGTTTTAAACCCTTTGTTGTGAAAAATCACACACTTTTTGTCTAAATGAAACGGTGAATCGGGACTAGGCTAGATGTCAGAGAGCAAGGAAGAAAATATTTTTTTAGGATTTGCTCATTTTGCAGCCTGTTCTGGTCTGCGTTCGGTCTCAGGTCAACCAAGCGGTCAAATACTGTAGTGATTCCATTTCTGAATACGCTGAAAATAGTTTTGTGCCTCTACGCCCTCCCATTTTAAATATAAAACATGCCCTCCCGTGCATGCCCAGCCATAAAAAATCCATTTATTAAGGTTCGCTTTACATATAATTCTCTTTATACGGCCATCTTTCTTTATCCGTCCCCTCTTTTTTTTTTAAAAAAAGGGGGGGGAATAAAAGCATCCTTTTAAAAACGATGCCAGGCTCTCCCCCCACTCCCCCCCCCCATAGATATTCCTGCTGTTACCAAATTAGTTAAACATGAACGGTGGTGGGGGAAGCATCATATTTGAGAGATTCTTAAAACAGGCAAACGGCACAGATGTTATCCAAATTGCACGACATGAAATTGGACAGACGATTTCTCGTCGAGTAGTATTAAGAAATTAAAATAAGCAGGGGAAACATTTGAGTTGGGTGTTTCTTTTTCCACAACAATATACAATGTCTTTTTTTTTTTTTTCTTCCCCGTTTAATGGAAACCGAGTTCCTGTCCAAATTTTCCCCTTGGGAAACTTTTAAGGTTCGCTCCCTATTTCTCCTGCGGCATGATGAGTTCGTAATGGCCAACTTGACCGTCCTGCTTCAGCTGGTCGAGCAAATCTTCTTTACGCCTCTTTCGGCTGACCACCAAATACCTATCCCTGCCCTGGCCATGGGACTTGCTTTTCAGCCCATATCTTTGGGCTATCTGATGGATCTGTTTCCGCTCATCGTTGGTAAGTTCCGTGGAAAAAGTCAGATCGATTTTCCTGTCCGAGAAAGCGTAATTTTGGATGATCTGCTCAATATCTTTTTTGGTGATCTGGGAGCCTCTTTCGACATCCAGTCCCAGCCCTTCCCTTTTGAACTGCTCCTTCACCGCGATGGGCTCCCGGATCCCTTCTCCACTTTTGCCCAAACCGCCCCCCGTCCAGCCCATCTTCCTTAAGATCTGATTCCCGATGTTGTCTTCCTTGATCTGCTGCTTTAAGGCCTCTTCGGCCGAGCGGCCACAAATCTCGTTCCGGGATATGACGTCTTCGATGGTGCCTTTTTTCAAATTGTTGACCACGGTCGGCTGGGTCTTCTTGAGAACTTTCACAGCCTCCTCGGCGGCCACGTGCTTGACGGTCTTCTTGACGCCGACGGCCTCGGCGATCAGTTCGTTCTCCAGCATCACCTTGCACTTCCATCGCATGCCGGTCACCCTTTCGAAGACGTATTCCACCGTCATCTTGTTGAACTGAGCGGTGTCGTTCAGAGTGCAGACCGGATTCATGGAGTTTTCGTACACCACCAGGTCCTTCAGGCTCTTCTTCTTCGCTGGGGCGCGGGCAGACCCACTGACTTTCTGAACCTGCACGGCTTTGGTGGCGCTGATGTTGGACTGCGTCTTCTGCAAAATTTTCACGGCTTCGTCCGCCGCGGCGTGCTTGCTGGTTTTCTTGGTGCCGCAGCCTTCCGCTAAGAAGTGGCCTTGCAAATAGACGCCGCAACGCCAGAGACGGTTGGGCATCAATACGTATTTGTACTCCACGGTCATTTTGTTAAAGGAGGCAGAATTGTTCAAAATGCCAATGGCATCGCTGGCATTTTCAGTGAGGACAAAGTTAGTCCAGTGTTTGACCGAGCTGGGCCCTTGTTGCGGATCTGAACCTGGCTGTCCCGTCACACCATCCTTTGCAGGGGGGGTTGTCTCATCCGGTGGTTTGAGCGCTGGCGGGAATTCGAGAGGAGACGTCCCGCTTTCACACACCACTAAATCTTCCCGCATGACGTTCTTGAATTTCCGCTGAACCACTTTGACTTCGACGGGCTTCTGCAGCAGTATCACCGCCAGCTCGGTGGCCCGATCTCTGGAACCGTTTTTGCTGCCCGCGTAGCCCGTGGTCAGGTAGACGTTCTGGCACCTTACCTCGCAGGCAAAACCTTCTTTGAGGATCTTCTTCTTTTTGGGAAGATCAGCAGGAGAAATGTCCTTCAGGGGAGAATAAATATACTCCGGGTTGGTCTTACAAGCCTGAATTGACCGCGTCAAAAGATATGTGTAGTTAATTTTGTCCGGCCCGCCACTACAATTGGGGTTGGTGAGATTGTTGCGGACTGCCGTTACAAGCTTCTTAATGAAACACTGCTTGGCTGTTATCACTGATTTGGGGAACGTTTCAGAAGCGGGTTGTAGAAGAGCAGAGTCCGCCAAAGTCGTCGTGCCCCCAGCGGTAGAAGTCTCTTTATTTACTACGG